AGGAAACAAGGACAGAGGAGGAGAAGAATGAAGTATAGAGGAAAGGAAAGGAGACAAGGATAGAGGAGTGGAAACAAGGAGAGAGGAGAGGAGACAAGAAGAGGAAACAAGGACAAATAAAGGAATTACGGGAGAGAAGGAACAAGGATAGAGGAGGAGAGGAAATAAGGAGAGGAAACAAGGAGAGAGGAGAGGAAAGGAGACAAGGACAGAGGAAAAGGGAGATGGGAGACAAGGAGGGAGGAAACAAGGAGAGAGAGGAAAGGAAACAGTGTGAGAGAAGAGAAGAGGGGAGAAGGAGAGGAAACACAAAGAGAGAAAAGAGGAAACAAGGAGAGGAGAGGAAACAAGGAGAGAGGAGAGGAAAGGAGACAAGGATAGAGGAGTGGAAACAAGGAGAGAGAAGAGGAGACAATGTAAGAAGAGAGAAAACAAAAGTAGAAGAGAGAGACCAGGAGACAAGGATAGAGGAAAAGGGAGATGGGAGACAAGGAGGGAGGAAACAAGGAGAGAGAGGAGAGGAAACAGTGTGAGAGTAGAGGAGAGGACACAAGGGGAGGAAACACAAAGAGAGAAAAGAGGAAACAAGGAGAGAGGAGAGGAAAATAGGATAGAGAAGAGGAAACAAGTGTAGAGGAGAGGAAACAAGGAGAGAGGAGAGGAAACAAGGACAAATAGTAAAGGAATTACGAGAGAAAAGGAACAAGGATAGAGGAGGAGAGGAAACAGTGTGAGAGTAGAGGACACAAGGGGAGGAAACACAAAGAGAAAAGAGGAAACAATGAGAGGAGAGGAAACAAGGAGAGAGGAGAGGAAAATAGGATAGAGAAGAGGAAACAAGGAGAGAGGAGAGGAAACAAGGAGAGGAGAGGAAACAAGGAGAGAGGAGAGGAAAATAGGATAGAGAAGAGGAAACAAGGAGAGAGGAGAGGAAACAAGGACAAATAGTAAAGGAATTACGAGAGAAAAGGAACAAGGATAGAGGAGGAGAGGAAATAAGGAGAGGAAACAAGGACAGAGGAGGAGAAGAAAGAAGTATAGAGGAAAGGAAAGGAGACAAGGATAGAGGAGTGGAAACAAGGAGAGAGGAGAGGAGACAAGAAGAGGAAACAAGGACAAATAAAGGAATTACGGGAGAGAAGGAACAAGGATAGAGGAGGAGAGGAAATAAGGAGAGGAAACAAGGAGAGAGGAGGAGAAGGGACAAGGACAGAAGAGAGAAGACAAGGATAGAGGGTGAGAGGAAATAAGGATAGATGAAGAGAGGAAACAAGAGGAGAGACAGTGAAGTAAAAGGAAACGAGAGGAAAGGAAACAAGGGGAGAGGAAAGGTGAATATTCAGATGAACACATGAAGCATGTCTCTGTTTTTACTGTATCCTGAACACAGCAGGAGGTGTGTTTCAGTGTGTGTGTGTGTGTGTGTGTGTGTGTGTGTGTGTGTGTGTGTGTGTGTGTGTGTCCGGGCCGTACCAATCACAGCCAGTGAGGGGGGGCAGGGCCAGTGCTCGGTCTCGATCTTGGAGGGCTGGTTCGGGTCCGGAGGCTGAGCTGCTGGAAACTTTGAGGACTCAATGATCAAATCCACGATGTGTTTCCCCTGAGGGAGCTGAGAGGACACACACGCTTCTGTACACAGCACACACACACACACACACACACACACACACACACACACACACACACACACAGAGCATGTTAAAGCTGATTAAAATCATGCTGACGATGTTCAGATCTGTTCTGACCGTGTGTCTCCAGATGTCTGGAAGGTTTAAATGCAGTACTTGTACTTCACAGTGTGGTGTCAGTATTTCCTCCACTGTCTAAAAAGCTCATAGTTACACACATGTTGAAATGAAAAACACTTGTCACATGTTCTGATCCTGTGTCTCTGAGTTATTGGTTCACTTATCTTTGTTACCTGCTGAATATGTGTCACGCGCTGTTTTTGTTTTTTGAGTATGAATGTGTTTACTGACGCTCTGAGGGACAAAAACATCATCAGATGGTTTTAAACTGCACCTTGTTTGTAGATGGGAGGCTTCTTATAGATGTTGGTGCCATTTTCTGAAAGAGAGAGACGAAGAAGTTCAGACAGAGGAAGACGAAACACATCAGCCACTTTATAACACAGACATAAAACACAGATGTTTAATACTCTTAGAACTCTGTTCTGTTGCCCATCGGCCTGAACACACACTGATACGTCTATAACTACAGCCAGATTAGATCAAACATTAAAGGTCCAGTGTGTCAGATTGGGGAGATTTAGTGGCATCTTGTCCCAGTATACAAGCACTGGAGGGGAATCCATTTATTGAGCCAAGTATGTGCGACTCCTCTACGATAGGTGGAGATATGCCCCCTTTCAGCTTGTTAGTATTGGACCTTTTTCCTGTTGACCTATTACGTCACAGACCAAACAATGGACAAACAAGTTAGCTACGGTTAGCTAGCAGCTAACTGCTACCATGGTGGACAACTTTACAGCTCTGTACATTTGGTCCGTCCAAAAAGTCACGGCTCTGGATGTAGATTTCTCCATGTTGTTACCGGCTTCTTCTTCTCTTACACATTTAATGCTATTGGACTTCCGGGTCAAAGCCCGGGGCGGAAACTGTGGAGCATGCTCAGATCGCCTCGGCCAGTTTGGTTCTGATTGACTGTATACATGCAGGAGTCACTTGATCTGGGTGTGTTAGTCCCACTGTGACACATTCACTGCAGGACCATTTCACTCACATTTACATGTTTACAGGGATTTTAAAAGTCGCACTGACAATCAATGAGACTTTTAAAATACATTTAAACATGTTAGTTTTTATATTATATTCAGTTTCTGACATTATATCCGCCTGAATCCGACACACTGGAGCTTTAAATATATTGTGTCACTCCTGACGCTGTGTCAGCGCGGCTCTGGTGATTAAAGGAGACAGAGACGTGAGAGTAATAAATTAAAAGTCGTTACCCGGCCTGTGGAAGTGCTGCATGGTGCTCTTGGTGCTGGAGATGTGTGTGTGTGGTGTGTTTGGTGTGTTTGGTGTGGGCGGTGTGTGTGTGCTGTGTGTTCTGCTGGTCTGGATGGTGGAACAAGGGGAGGAGCCTCCGGGAGAACGGTTCTCCAGCCACTCCCTGGACTCCTTCTGGAAACACAGAGGAGGAACACCACAGTCAGACAGACAGACAGACAGACAGGTGGACAGCTGAAGGCTTTGTGTTTTAAAGTTTGTTTGGCTTGTTCAGGCCTCGTCTGTATGTACACAGATATTTTTGCAAATGAATATTTTCCTCGATGTTTCAGCCTTTTGTCCACTCAGTTTTTTTCGGTCTCTTAAACTGAGATATGTTAAAACACCTTCTAAAGGCCCTGACACACCAAGCTGACGGTCGGCTGTCGACCAAAGTCGGGCCGTTGGTGAGCGTCTGTCGCCCTAGTTTTTGCAGCGTGTCCCACCTTCGGCACTTTGGTGTCGGCGGCTTTTCGGCTGATTGAGCATGTTGAATCTGCGGCGGAGCTTGTCGGTGAGAGAGATCACTCTGATTGGCTGTTCAGGTTTTATTTCCTCGCCCCTGTAGCGAGTGAATCTGCCTGTAGTGAAACCGGGGCTAACCGGTGCTTCCTCCTCAGGCTCCACTTCACTCAGCTGCCCTACAGACCCGCTGCTTCTTCACACTTTAACCTGAATAACAAACCTGAGCTAGCTGGGAGCGGCTAGCGGAGCGTTAGCCGCAGCATGACCGGAGGGAAGCACAGCCAGTTAGCCTCCGCTAGTCTCTGAGCTAGCCCCGGCTCTCCGTTTGGATCCAACCGGAGCACCGAGCCCTGGTTTGTTATTCAGGTTAAAGTGGGAAGAAGCAGCGGGTTTATCGGGCAGCTGAGTGAAGTGGAGCCTGCGGAGGAAACACCGGGACCGTCTGGATGTAATAGTCCGTGGAGGTGCTGCGGTGCTCGGCTGCACAGATAGGAAACCCCTCGGCTGACAGGATGTACCACTCTCTCACTCCGCTCTCTCTCACGCAGGCGCAGAACGTACGTGCTACTTGGCCGTCGGATGTAGTCCGTGTAGTGTGTTCAAATGCAACTGACACAGGGCGACGTGAGGCGACGTAGACGACGCAACAGTTGGCTTTCGTCGCCGCTAGTTCTTTGATGTCGGTTTGGTGTGTCAGCACCTTAAGGTGCAGATTTATTAAATTAATTTTTCCAAAAACAGTTTCTGTTGTTTCAGGTAGTTTTTATCACGCTGCTGCACTGTGTACCCCATTCTGCTAACTCAACTTAAAATTTTTCTTGAACAGTTCCAACATATCTGCCACATGATAATCTACTGATTTAACGTATCTGTCGTTTTTCAGGAACTTACAAGGCCGATATTTGTCTGTAATATGGGTAACTGGAGCTCATTTTGCTGCTGCAGTGAAAATTCTTGAACATAAACCATCACAGTGGTGGTGTGTGTGTGTGTGTGTGTGTGTGTGGGGGGGGGGTCTTACCTCTGGGGAGGCAGGAGGAGAGATGGAGCGAGGAGACAAGGACCTCTGAGGAGGAAACATAAAGATAGATTAGAAACACTCAAACATACATAGCTTTAGAGGAGAGAGGAGGAAGATGCTCCAAACAAACAAACAAACCAGGAAGGAGAAGTGCATCAGCAGAGTTCAGATCTGTTTAAGAAATACACTAAGGAAAAAACAACTTGGTTTGGTTCAGAGGATATCCTCGAAAATGTTTGTTTCTTTCTTCTCTTAACCAGTGTTTGATATGTGTTTAAGTGCAGCTGCTCTTAAAGTTCAAAAAATACTTATCAGTTTGTTGAGAAACAAAAGAAAGACGCAGTATTGAGTGAAACAGGCTGTAATGTACCCTGCAGTGATGTGAGCCCTCTAACAGTGTTTGTTTTGTCACTGACAGGCTCAGACTGTTATTCCAAGTGTCTGACAGCATTATGAAAGGATCCCTACAGAGATAGAGCTTTGTGTTTAACCAGAAACAGCCCTGAAATCACATGCTGCCTCTATACACACTAACATGACTGTTTATCTAAATAGAGTCTGGTGGGTTTGGTGACGGTGATTTCAGGGCTGTTTTTGGTTAAACACAAAGCTCTATCTCTGTAGGGATCCTTTCATGATGCTGTCAGACACTTGGAATAACAGTCTGATCCTGTCAGTGACAGAAACAAACACTGACGGTGTTACAGAGTGGAGACATCACAGCCTGATGTGACTGCCTGAACACACGCGGGGTGTAAAATGGACCACAGGACGGTGAGGACCAAAAAATGTCCTTGCTGTGTCCTCCAGACTCAGACAAACATGTATGTTGGCTTTATACACACACACACACACACACACACACACACACACACACACACACACACACTGGGTCTCAGCTGTGGTGACGAGCTGTCTGGTCTCTAAGCAGCAGATTGATGTCTCGTGTCGCAGCCAGATGAACAGCTAACCAACCGACAAACTAACCGACTGTCGGAGCGGCCGCACCGCCTGCTTCTCTAACTTCACTTTGTCTGCTGAGCTCTACGTTTCTCTTATTATCACTAAATCTCATGCTCACACTCAGATCAACAACATGTCAGTCCGTCTCTCAGTATTTCCTGACTTCCTGTCTGTGTATCTCAGCTCTGAGCCTGTTTGTTCCTACTGAGGATTTAAATCACCTGCTCGCTGTCGTTTTTTATCATCAAATAGTGACTTTGTTTGGGACTATTTTCAGTGGCGGATTAATCCACATCTGGTGATGTAGTGAGTATTTGTGTCAGCAGGGTGGTGTGTGTGGGACTGAGTCAAAATAAACTACAAAATACAGATTATAGCTGCAACCAACACGGCAGCTGGTGGGACACTGTGCATTTCTGTGACACTTCCTGCACGGAGCGCTTTGTGCTGGAAATGACAAATTGTGTAATGTTGTGTTCACATGAATTTGAACTCTAGAATAGTTTGTATTGACTCACTTCATACACGCGAATAAATCGCGCCATGTGTCTGTAAAATCACTGAAACTGTAAAGACTATGTGTTGGACCCAGATGTGCTGTTCAGTGACAACTCAAAAGACTGTCCTGCCCAAATCTGAAGCTGATCCAGTGAAATTTTGAGGTGGAGTACGATGCCTGGAAGTCAAATGAAAAGTACATTCAAAATGGCTGACTTCCTGTTTAGGGTACAGCTCCAAGAGGCTTTTTGGAATTTCTTGACATGTTACATGAGCCTGCCAGTTTTCCTTCCTCCAGATGAAACATACCGTTGAAATTTTCTATCAGATCTGAACACGATTTTTGTTCTGGTGCAAAGTATGAGAGTGTTGAGCACCTTTAGCTCCTCAAATATTGAGGATTTGAAAATGATTTTTTTAATCAAATAATAATAGTGGAGTGATGTCAGGTGCTGGAGCCTGATCGTCACCTCCAATGGGCTGTAGCTGTAGTGTGGCTGGTAGATCATCAGATCTGGTCTCTCTATGTCCAGGATGGCTTTGTCTCTGGGTAACGCTGCCAAGTCCTTATAGCCGATGACCCCGTCCTCCACCCTGGCCTGGACAGACAGACAGACAGACAGAGATGGGGGGAGACACAGATTACAGATTACTGCCTCAAGATTAATCTGAAGGAAATATAACTTCATCTGTGTGTGTGTGTGTGTGTGTGTGTGTGTGTGTGTGTGTGTTTCTCACCACGATGGCGGCGGCGGGGGATCCCGGGACGCTCGACCCTCTCAGCGACAACACGCTCCCTGGAGACGTCTGAGCCAGCTGCTGCTCACACACACACACATGCAGAGGTCAGAGGTCAAACACAAACTGATATTCAGCCTAACAGAAGACGACTTCAGCTAATGAAGAAATTGATGACCATCATTTAGGTTTCTGCTCAGTGATGTCATCACTCACAGGTCTCTTAAAGGGACAGTTCGCCCCAAAATTAAAAATACATATTTTATTTATGCAAAGCAGCTGAACTGGGGTTTGTCGTTATGACACGTTCAGTCAGACTCAAAGCTGTTGAGAGACTCTTCCAGTATATGATGACATATTATTCATTTGTACCCTAATGTCCCAAATCCATACACCCCTCAGACCCTCACTCAGAGTGATGATGACAAATATTCAAATCAAATCAACGAGACACACATATAAATTATAACAGTAATAAGATAAGGGAACAAATAAATAAAATAAAATAGATAAAAAGTAAATATAAAATAAAATGATGAGGCTTTAAACCTTCGTCTTGATGCTTGTGGTGTTTCATATAAAACACTTTGAGCTGCCTCGCCGCTGAAATGTGCTTTACAAATAAACTTGTCTTCCCTCAAAGACAGGACGCACACATGTGACATCATCACACCTCCATGACATCACCGTGTGTTATAATGACACAGTGACCATCCCAGTACTGAGCACACCCCCTCTGAAGGAGCGCTGCAAACCTTCAGTGTCAGTATCTCCCTCTGTGCTCTCACTTTAAAGAGTTCGGACTGATTCTGTCTGACATCACAGAGACGAGGACGCAGTGTTTACCTTGGGCATCATCCTGACTGCTGATTGGTCAGATCCTGAGAGACACACAGACATGACATGTAATTATATTACAGATAAATGTGTGACAGTATTTATTTTACAGTAAACTGAAGAAAACAACTGTCAAACAGACGTGGTCTAAAGGTTCAGGTTCAGGTGTGGGCTGAGGCCTGTGGTAGTGAGGGTTAGGGTAAGGTACATGCTCGTGTGTGTGTGTGTGTGTGTGTGTGTGGCTTGTGAGTCAGCTGGAAAACAGAAATCTGCTGCAGAAGCTTTCTATGATGGAGAGCAGCCAGACCAGAGCCGTACACACACCAGAGTTCAGTCGATGGCATCCACAGTTACAGTCAGAGGTTGGGACTAAAATCATCTCTCAGATGCATCGTGATGCGGACGTTAACGATTCGACATCAGTTCACAAACGTCAATAATCGATTATGTAAATATTTGTTCATAACATGATGTTGACGGAACAAAAGAGATCGAACTCAGGTGTGAAGTCAGCGTAGTGGTAACATGGACTAAATCATCTTCACAAAGACAGCAGCTGCAGCTTGTTTTAAACATTCATTCATTCATTCATTCATTCATTCATTCATCAGTGCAGTTAACTTGTTAAAATACAAAGGATGCAGATCGTATATCATTGAATAAAAGGTGCATTGCAAACTGTTTCAGAGGAAATATTACAGCAGGCTGTGCAAACACTGGAGCCTACGCAGGTGTGTGTATGTCCCGTATATGTATATATCCAATAATGGACAAGCGAGAGTGTCCACAGATCCAATCTGACTGGCGCCCCCTGGTTCAACAGTGAGGTAATGCAGGTAGGCTGAAGGGGAGGGGGACCTGGACAAGAGCCACACTGTATGCAACTAAAATGATCTGTTAATTTAATTATGGATCACCAAAAAACGAGAAAAATAAATCGTGTTGAAATCAAACATCGTGATGCATCAATAATCTTTTTATTATTGAATTGTTGCCCTCTGAATCGTAATCGGATCATGAGGTGCCTGGAGATTCCCTCCCCGAGTGGAGATACGACGTCCAAGGTGCCCTGCGTCTGCTGGTTCTTGACGTTCTGGGACGCCGTGTCAACTTCAGCCTGTTACATGCTGGCAATTAACTTTTTTCCTTCAACACACACACGTGGTTACGTTTAACCAACACACACACGTGGTTATGTTTAGCCAACACACACACGTGGTTACGTTTA